GACCTCTTCATGCCCCGGGCAGGAAAGGGTGACTTGACCACCACCAGCAGACTTCACAAAGGTTCAGCCAGGATTCCACAAGTGGGCAGAAGTCATAAGAAAATTTATAGCTGTGGGCTTTCTTACATAGTACAGAAAACTAAGCCAACATATCTATTTCCAAAAACACCAAATATTAAGACTATAAAAATGGTACTGTGTATGTTTGTGGCCACGTGTATGCCACGGAGTGCATGTGGAGGCCAGGGAACACCTTTGTGGAGGTGGTTCTCACCTTTTACCTTTACATGGGCTCTGGGGACTGAAGTCAGGCCACCAGTCTTGCATGGCAGTGCCTTTCCTCACTAAGCCATTTTCAGCCAACTCTGTATGCTAGGGAGATCATCCGGGCTCCCATGAGGACACAGGATGAAGTGGAAAGGTGGTGGGGCAGTTTCAACAGAAGGAGAGGAGTAACAGAAGACTCAAGACAGCAGTAAATTTGAGAACAGGAAGATATGTGAGTAAGTGCTGACAGTTCATATTTAAATACTTAAAATGTAAATATTTGAGAATATTTTAAATTCTAAATGCTAACTGAATGTTTACAAACTGCCAGTGCTTTCTTATATCTTGTCTACATCTCCTAAGAAATAGTGACTTGAGAATATGGCCCTAAAAGCTAGGGCCTTACGTTCTATAACCAGATCTCACTCACAGTGGTTTCTTCCCCACCTTTCTGCTGTACTCTGGGACGCATGCATGCGCGCGCGCACACATGCACACACACACACACACACACACACACACACACACACCACGAACACACAGGGCATCACATTTTCAAAGTAAAAACAATAAACTTTATTGTCCAAAGAAGAGTACTAGAACAGCAAAGAATTAGGAAATCACACAGTAATGGAAGGGAGGTGTCTGGCAGAGAAAGGGTGGTGATTTTCAAATATAAGCTAGGAAAAGAGGATCTTTCCAGGAAGAATCTGAACTAAGAGTTTAAGTCAGCAGGACATCTGTCTACTGTCGCCAACACAAGGGTCCATAGTCTATAGTCTACAATCATATATCTTCACGCAAAAGATAAATGCTGTCTGTGAGGAGACACTATGACCAAGGCAGCTTTTAAAATAAAGTATTTAATTGAGGGCTTGCTTACAGCTTAGGTGGATTAGTCCGTGAGCATCCTGGTGGGGAGCATGGCGGCACACAGACAGTCATGGCTGCAGTAGTAGCTGGGGACTCACATCTGATCTGCACATCGCAGGCAGAGGAGAGGGAGGAAACAAGATTTGGCCTAATGTGGGCTTTTGAAACCTCAAAACTCAACCCCAGCGACATATCTTCTTCAGCAAGATCATACCACCTAAGTCTTCCTAAACATTTCTACTATCTAGAGACTAAGCACTCAAATATGAGCCAATAGGGCCATTCTCATGCAAACTATCACAAATGTCTTATGAAAAAATGTAAAACTAAGTAGGACATTGGATCTGTTAATATATATGGACCCTGCCCATCTTTAAAGCAAAACCTAACACTGTTCACTCTAAGGGTATGTGAAACAAATACCTACCCAGGCAATGAGGCTCTGCTAGAACATGGGGTCCCAGGATTGCAGTGCTATAAGGGCTTTACAAACTAGCCATCCAGCAACACGCATTTCTGATATAATACTTTTGTCATAGTGTAGTTCTGGCTGTACCAGAACTCACTCTGTAGAGGTTGGCCTCAAACTCACAGAGATCCACCTCCCTCTGTCACCTGAGTACTGAGATTAAAGCCTTTTTTGTTTATTTGTTGGTTAGTTGGTTTGGTTTTTGAAAAAGGAAGTGTTTCTCTATGTAGCCCTGACTGTACTAGAACTAACTCTCTATATAGAACTCTAGCCTTGAACTCAAAGACGGGCCTGTATCACCACACTCAGCTCGCAACACTCTTTCACCCTGGTGGCACATGCCTATAGTCCCAGCATTTGGGAGGATCATGAATGAGTTCAAAGCACACTTGGGCTAGACATTGAGACTCTATCTTAAATAACTAAAAGGAGGGGGGCATATTGAGTTCATCATATAAAACATAAACAAATAGCATAAGTCAATTTATGTGTTCAGATTTACTTTTGGGGGTGGGGGTTTGAGACTGGGTTTCTCTGTGTAACAGCCCTGTTTGTCTTAGATCTAGCTCTTGTAGATCTGGCTGGCGTCGAACTCACAAAGATCCGCTTGTCTCTGCCTCCCGAGTGTTGGGATTAAAGGAGTGCGCTACCACCACTTGGTACTTTACTTATTTTAAAGCAAAATGATGACAGCAACTACATAATTTTTATTGTTGGGGAATTTCAGTAACATCAGCATCTGGCTTATTTCTAGGTTGTGTTTTATTGACAAAGTCAATACTTTTTTTTTTAAGACAATACTTCTAAGACTGGCACATACAAATAAATAGAAGCAAACATGGGGTTAAAAGAACGGCTTGGTGGTAAAGAGCACTTGCTGCTATTGCAAAAGACCTAGGTTTCATCCTCAGCACCCACCAATCTATACTCCAGTTTCAGAGGATCCAATGACCTCTTCTGACCTTCAAGGGCACTAGGCATGCACCAGAAGGTATATATGCATGCATACACGCAGGCAAAACACTCATACAAATAAAATAAAACAGAAATAAACATAATCACCATTTCTCTAAAATAAATCAACATAAAAATCTTCAAATAACTAAATATAAATATATTTTAAAATTCAATGTCTTCAATAGCTAAAACCATGCCCATTATTTATATTGTGGAAATACGAATAAAGTGAGACAAGAAGAGCAAGACCCTCCACAGACTACACCAGTCTCACAACGTCACAGCAATGTGTCACCCACACAGTTACAGTTAAACACCTGACCCACAACTGAGCCTTTTCTGTCACGTTCCATATGTTCTAATCAATAACAAAAACAGATCTGGTAAAAAAAAGACAGTATTCAGGCAGATGTGGTGTCACATCCTCGCCACTTGGGAGGCTGAAGCAGGAGAGTTTTAAAATCTCAGCCAGAGACAGAAAACAAGAATTTTCATATATACATACATACATACATACACACACACACACATTTATGAGCAATACAAATATACAGGGATGATAAAGAAATTTTATTCTGGTTATGTTCATTTGGCAACTACTAATTAGAGTGTACGCATTATTTCCAAAAACCACTTCAACAGACAAAATACACATTAAAATTGAAATGATAATAAAATTGGTTCAGAATCCCCTAAGTACTTCCATGTATGATTTGGTATCCACTGTTTTCAACTAAAAAGTCATCTAATTTTAAGGATAAATCAAACACAGTGCATCCTTAATATAGGTATTAGGGTCAAAGCCATTTCACTAATAAAAGGCTTCACAAGGCATTCATCATCTTTTAATTTCAATGTACTTTATTGTTGCTAGTGAAGTTAATATTTTAAAACATAAAAATGAAAGTACTTAAAAAGGAGTCGATGGCTCTTAAATTCCATAGAACATCCTATACTAAAGATAAACTTTAAAGCCATTAGCCAATCTCATTACCATAATGCACTAGAAAGGAAAACAGCAGACTCCAACTAAACGTTATTTTCTTTTTATAAATGATGAATCACAGGTTCAAACATTGCCCACCCCTTTCTTTCTGTTTTGCAGTGCTGGGAACTGAACCCAGGGGGCTCATACTAAGCTAAATCCTGCCTCTATGGTTATTTTGAGACAAAATCTCACTATGTAATAGGCTGGTCTTGACCTCAAGATCTTCCAGCCTTAGCTTTCTTAGTTCTAGAATTGTGGGTGTGTGCAAAGGGACTTCACCAGCCATTTCTTTCTAAGCTCAAATACAGGAATGTCACTTTGGGGTACCCCTTAAACACAGCACCATAAAAATACACATAATTGTAAATGTCTCTGTTTCTGCTGATAGAGCCACATACTGAACCTGAATACTTAGCCAACGGCTTTTCTGGGAGTTACTGGAAAGGACGCTGGACAATGACTGCATCTAATTCTAATTCCGTCAGGCATTCATGAACTTTTAATAGAAAGATAAGTAATAGGTCACCAAGTCCCGACCTTAGCTTATAAGAGACCAGTAACAAGTATCTAAATAGTCTAGCATGAAGGTACTGAGCTGGTAACAGGGACAATATTAAAAAGCACTGAGGTCCAAGGGTATATACTCCAGGACAATTAAGCCTTCTAATGCTCACCTATAGCAACTCAGAATCAGCTGTACTTGGTGCTGATCCCCACAGGTGGCAGTTAGAAATCAATGTATAATAAAACTAACAGCAAGAGAGAGTTCTAGTGCCATAATTATCAGAGCCTGATTTCCTGGGGAAAACAACCACAAGCTTCCTAACACTTATGGCTTAGGTGCAGCTAGACTGTGAAGTGCCCCAAAAGGAACAGCATCAACTCCATCAAAGAACAACACAGACTGTATCTCGGGAAAGATACCACGAAACCCTTTCTGGCACTGACCCTCCTGACCCTCCTCTGTCTTTAATACACCAATCTCATACTTCAGAAGATGGTGACAGGCCTCCAAAACTCCACTTAGAGACTGAGAACACAAAGTAAGAAAGGACTTGATCCTCTGAAGCAGGACACATGTTGAATAGTGGTCACTTCCCTTCAACTGTGAGTCCAGACATCATCTCATCGGTCCTGCAACCTCAGTCAGTGTCACAGAACAGGAAGAAGGAGTCTGGGTCCCGGATGATCCAGAACAGCCATTTCTTAGGTTGATGTTCTCCCCAGCCCCCGCGACGGTGTGAGTGTGTGTGCGTGCGCGCATTTCTCTTTCTGTCTCTCCCTTCCTGCTCCAACCCCCCCCCCCCACACACACACACAGAGCACACCGGCAGAAGGGTGCACTGGCCCTTTAAGAAAAACAAGTGAGCAGGAAGACCTCCCGCGCATCTACCGCACCCTCAGAGCCCCATAGAAGATTAAAGAAAGGAGGCACCGCTAAGTTACCTGCTCTGTCTCTGACGCATCTCTTCCAGTACAGAACACCAGCAATTCCAAGAATGTGAGTCAAAACAAAGATGGTTGGCGGCAAATAAGATGAATCTAAAAGAGGCATTTCCAGGACTGTGTTTCTTCTCTTGCTAGCCACAGGCAGAGCCCAGTGCTGACCCTGGATGCCTTTCTCCTGAGGTTACTGCTGTTCCTTACTATCAGCTCAGCGACAGAGGCAGATGCCTGGGTTTAACGTAGTAAGAAACTTCTGGCAGCTTCTTCCATCTCGCGTCTGCCTGTTTTCAGCAAACAGCGGCAGACTGGGACTAAAACTACACAGTGAGTCTCAGACAAAGGCCAGGAAACAACTGGTCAGCGGGGGAGGGGAAAAGAAAGGAGGAAGAAAAGTAAAAAGGAGGCCTAAGTCAATGTCAAGCTGACTCAAACCTCTATCTTTGGCATCCTCTGGCCAGCTTAAACAAACCTCAGACCCTTCTACAAGAAGGGAGGGTGTAGGACCAGAGGACGTCACACTCTGAACTTTCCATTCCCCGCCTGGTTGGAATGCCAAACTTCAGGATGCAAGCAGAAGGAAAGAGTCACAGAAGCACTAGAGAAACTCCTGCAGGGAGGACACGAGAGCCTTGACACAGACAGACAGCAACCCTTCCACAGCTACAGCTTTAGAGAAGAGCACAGGAGGGAGGGAGGATGCACACAGACCCCAGCTGACAGACAGAACCGAGTACTGGGCATCCAGCGGAGCAAACTGCTCTACAAGCAACGTTGGGCCACTTTTGGGGGCTGAGGAGAAACAACAAAAGACCTTCCACCAGCTATGTAAGCAGGGAGAACATTAGGAACTAAATGGCAGCAGAAAGCAACACCTTCCCAAAAAACAGGGCCTGCTTACGAACCTGATATGGGTATTGCAGCAGCAACTGAATCTTCACCACTGCTCACCAGTCAGAATGACTCCAATTAAAAAGCATGATTATGCCAAGCTCTGACAAGGACAGACCTCTTAAACACACTGCCGCTAGCAGGATAAACTACAACAACCACTGCAGAAATGAGTTTGGCAAATTCTTATAAAGTTAACCATACAAATGCAAGCAACCTTACTGAGAACAATCTCACCAAAAGAACAAAGGCCCACACAGAAACCTGTATATGAATGTTAAATTACCAATATCATGCAAAATAAACAAAAAGAAATAACTCAAATGTCTATAAACTTAAGCCAACTGTAAAGTGTCCATACATAAGAGCACTGCTCTGTACTAAAAAGAAGAAAGCTAGAGGTACATTTAAATGTTGTATGCATGCATAAGAGAGAAGTCAAATAGGAAATGCTACATATTATAAAAAATGATAGTGATAAAAGCAAAAGAGGCTGGGGCTCAAAGAGCTGGCTCAAAAGAACTGTGAGATGCTGGGAGTGTTTTACATATCATAATAGTGGTTCTGCTCTCGTTTGTCCAAATACAGTAAGTTGTATACCAGAGCCAGGCGATGGTGGTGCACACCTTTAATCCCAACACCAGGAAGGCAGAGACAGGCAGGTGTCAGTGAGTTCAAGGCCAGCCTCATTTACAAAACAAGTAACAAGTTACAGGACAGCCAGGACTGTTACACAGACAGAAACCTTACCTTGAAAAACAAAACAAAACAGAAAAAGCACACCAGAAAGGGTGAATGGTGGTGTGCAAGTAATTATTTGACAAACCTAATAAAAATAATACATTTAAAAGTGAGTAAGGAGTTTATACAATCTAAATTGAATGAGCTACCACTACCTCCCTCTCCAAAAGGTATTTTACAAGGTACAGTACGTACATATAACACTGGCTCCCAAGAGCTGGGAGTACACCTGATGTCCTTTGGGACACTTATCACCGTCCATTCAGGGAAGGTACAAGTCACAGACTCATTCCTACCAAACTGGCTCTTTATTTCAAATGCACCTACTACACTGTGTTCTTATAAATATTAAGAAATGCAAATGAGCCAACAGAGATGGTACATAACTGCGGTCAGTACACACAACACCAAGGCAAAGGATCAGGAGTTTGCAGTCAGCATGGACTACTGAGTGAGATCCTATTTACTTAAAAAATGGTAGGGGCTGCTTTACATATCTGTTGCTCTATTATTTCCCTAGTAAAAGGGAAAGATTTTAATCTATTGCCCAAGACGACAATGTGTTTTGATGGAGGACTGAATACAATAGGAGCTTTTAAATCCAGTATCATCTACAATTGTGTGCTCCTCTGTATTTCACACCTAATGTGCGCTTCATGCCTGTAAGAAGCAGCAGGAATGCAGGGCTGGATAGATGACCCAGTGGTTATGAGAGTGTACTACTGTTCTTGCAAGTTTGGTTCCCAGTATCCCCATCTGGTTCATGGTGGTTCATAACCACCTGAACTCTAGCTCCAGGGAAATCAGATGCCCTCTTCTAGTTTCCATGGGCACTGTACACATGTGACATACACACACATGTGAGAAGATAATAAAATAATTTTTAAAGAGCTGAACTAGAAAGATGACTCAGTGGTTAAGAACACTGATTGCTCTTGCAGAGAACTAGGGTTCAGTTCCCAGCACCTACACGATGGTCCACAACCACCTGTAATTTCAGTTTCGGGGAATCAACGCCTTCTAACCCGAAGGCACCAGACATGTACATGATACAGATGAACATACAGGCAAAACATTCATACAAATAAAATAAATAAGAATTTCAGCTGTCAGGGTTTGTTGACAAAAGAGAAAGGAGGGAATGGTGGGAGGGGGAGAAAAGACCAGGGTCTTGGCTGAAAAGCTGAAAGCTGTCTGGGAAGCAGAGGCTCCAGGGTTGGCAGGTAGCTGTGACTGGCTGTTTACTGTATGGGAGGCAAGTGTGTAAAAAATGGCCTTCTGAATAGTAGTTTTGAAATGCCAACTAGATGTTGAAATAGAACATTGAACAAACAACCAAACAAACTATTCTAGAGTTCAGAAATGTTCACACTTGGTCTTAAACCCAGGAGACTTTATGATGTCATTTATAGAGTAAACATGAAGAGGGAAAAGATCAAGCTCAAGGGTTAAGCCATAGAAAACCTCCGGCATGAGATGTGAAAGAATAAAAACAGCAAGAGATTGTAAAAATGAGGCCTCAGAAGTGGAGAGTTAAAGGGGCATGCTGTCCCAGGGTCAGCTGAGGGGAGGGTTCAAAGAAGTAGCAATTTAGCCACAGTGTCTGTGTGAGGTGAGGACTGAAACTGACTGTCAATTGGTGGAGGTCACTAAGTTCTTCACAAGGGTAGTATTGATGAAGTAGAGAAAATGCCCAATCAGAGTAAACCAAGAACAGATGGAAAGAGAAGAATCAGTGACAAGTGAAGACAACTCTGCCAAGAAGTCTTGCAGTAAGAAAGACATGGTAGCAAAAAAGAACTCTTCTTAGCATGTGAGATGTAATGTAACAGTGTTTGTTAAAGGCATAAACACTGAAGAATACAAATCAATGGCACAGTACCATGAAATTGAGTTGTGCTCCCTTTTTTTCTTAAACAGAGCACTTCATTCAATTAAAAAGTAGGGGTTCACAGAGCATCGTTCACTCAATAAAAAAAAAAACACAGTCTTAAATAAAGATGCCCTGGATACAAGCATAGCTGCTTCCCTACAGTGGGAAGCAAGCAGAGAAACTCCTGGGCTATGGTGTCCATAAATGGATTTGCTTGGAAGGGAAACTAACATTTATTATGCAGCTACTATAAAGCAACTTCAGAGCCAGGGGTGGTGGCGCACACCTTTAATCCCAGCACAAGCAGGGAGATCTCTGTGAATTCAAGATTAGTCTGGCTTACATAGTGAGTTTCAGGCCAGTCAGGGATATACATTGAGACTCTGTCTCAAAAACAAAACAACACATCAAAAACCTCCATATGTTATTTCATTTAATCTCTATGCTATCCTTGGGAAGGATATGGTCTACCTTAGATACATGACATCTCTGCACACAACAGGTAGAATCCTCCAGTCAGCAGCTTTATGTGTATATATTTGTGAAGGCAAAAGGAAGAGAGGGGAGCCATCTTTGAGAAAATAAAATAGATATTGAGAGATCTGTGCTCATCACTCACAGGAAGTGGTTAGAGGCTGGCAGAAGGGAGAGGCTAGTTTTCTTTTTAGATATTATTCATTATACATAGAACAAGTCACTTAATGTCATGTTTAGCACCCAGAATGTTCCCACCTCACAGCAAAAGGACAGGGTCCTAAACCACCAAAGCACACATCCACACCCAAATACACCTGCAGGAATAAACTTAGTAGAAGAAAGGCATATTACAGAGAGAACTAGAAACCTTAGGTTTCTGGAACTGTCAGGATCCAGACATCAAGGTATGGCCCCGAAACTCTTGTCACCTACATTCTCCTGTGAGTACTTGGCATCTAACTGTCAAAGGGCAGAGGATGTGATCTTCACACAAGTGAATTAGGAGATATCCATGACCGTCTTCATGATACTGAAACAATGTTAAACAATGCCAAGGCCTAGAACGTCTACAAATATTCCATATACTCAAGCATTCATTGGATATAATAAAATAGCAAAAATTTCCTGTTTCTTACTCAGAAAACCTGAGGCATTAGCATTATCATAGCCAAATGGGCCTGTATTCACATCTAGATTATCATCTATAAAACATTTAGTGCCTGTGAGTAATTTATTCAACTTAAGGAAACCTCTACTTCTTTATCTGAAAATGATGATAACAGAACATGTCTTAATAAAGTTATGTGAGGATTAAATGACTTAATGCACTCAAGGTGCTTGACATATACCCAATAATTAATGGTCATTATTGTCATTGCTCAGACTGCACAAAACTTTGGCAAATTGGCATCTGATCTCATCACCTCAACAACCCCACCTAACCTACCTAATCCCAGTCTCTTGCCTTCCAATCCTGACCTTAATCACTACAAGATTAATCTCCTTGGTACATAAAAAATGACTAGTACATCTTAAATATTCCATTCCCTATTTGCAATTTTAAAATATTTATTTATTTTGATTTTACATTGTTGAACGTTTTAAATCTGAATGCATGCTGTGCACTACGTGCATGCAATGCCTGTAGAGTCCAGAAGGGGGCACTGGAGTCTCTGAACTGGAATTACTGCTGGCCAAGATGGTTGTCAGCCATCATGTGGGTACTGGAAGTTCTCTTAACCACTAAGTCATCTCTCTAGCCACACTTAATTAGCAATGTTTTCTAAAGTTTCTGGTTTCTTCCTGCCAGGAATTTAAGCCCCAAACTGCATGGCTTTACAATATTCT